TGAGCTGCGGCACTGCGGCTGCGCCCCCCACCGGCTGTCCGGTGACCGAAATGATGATACTGGTTTGATTGGGGCTAACTCATGCATGCACCGTATGCTCGATCGGGACAACTACAGAGTTAGTGAATTTTCTAAAGTTAAGAGAGATTTCATTAATGACTAAACATTAGATTACATTCTTGGTTCAGAAGTTCAAGGATTTCTGCACGAGCACATAATCTCCACTCCGTATCAATTCGTGAACCCATTACCATTTGAGACAAAGCATGAGCTATCTCATTTGAATCTCTCCTTATCTTATGTAGTGTCAAACACTACATGGCCGCTTTAATTTCTGAAATTATGCCACCCCATTCTGCTCTTGAGGCCGAGTTATATTAGTGATATTTGATATGCGTTCATTAGTACTCTCTTACCGTGTTCTCAAATTTTAACTGTGCACTTGTTTACTGTGTACTCCGTATAATATACTCCAATGCGTATCGGTCGCCAGCTAGGCAAATCGAGTAGCACCTAGCTAGCGCGTGGGGCTAGAAAGACTCTGTGCTTTTTATAACGTCAGTGCTCCCGTCTACCGCTGGTCCGCTGCGTAGCCTGCGGTTATCAGCTAAAGCGATGACGTGGAGAGCCGAGAGCGACGTCGCCGCCGGTGCGCTACGTACGCCGATGCCGACCGAACCGCGCTCCTGATGACTCAGCTTACATCCTCTTCTTTTCGTTTATGTTATACTCCCTCTATCTCTAAATTTCTTATTAAAAAATTTTTATAAAATATGTAAAACCATATATATATATATACACACACACCAATTGCTTAAATTTTTTAGAATAAGACAAACGGACAAACATGTTTAAAAAAATCAACGGCGTCAAATATTTAGGGACGCAGGGAGTACTTATTAGTCAAAACTTAAATTTTCAACCTAAAATTTAAAGTTAATTTTGATTTTATTTATAAAAGTTTATTTTTCATCATTTGCTTTTAGATCGTTAAGAACACGTATATAAAAGTTTTATTCGTAAATTATTTTTGGTTTGCAAATAAAACGTAAGCAATGGGACCATTAATTAGCTCAACCAAACGAACAATGAGCCTCGCAAGACGTTTAGAGCCATCGATCGTTCGATTGCCTAACGAGCCGATCAAAATTTTAATTTTAGAACTTAATTTTGAAATTTATTTTAAGATACTATTTTTAACGCGCGCTACTCCTCGCCCGCGACCCATATATGCAGCATTCCGAGTCTCCGACGATCTTAAGGACGACCTCGTGGACGGCGGCGCTGGCATTTGGATCGTAGGCCCAGGAAGCGATCGTAGGCCTGCTTGGGCTCCGCCCTCTCTCCCAAGGAAAAAGTCCACTTAGACTCCTTAAATGTTCACCGAATCTAATTCGCAACCCTTAACTAGAAAACCGGGTAGGACGACTCCCCGAATTATTGAAACTAGTGCAATTTGACTCCTCTAGCGGTTTTGGAGGGCGGTTTTGCTGACGTGGCGCTGACGTGGCGGTGCTAACCTGGTCTTCATCCCACGTGGCGCTTATGTGGCATTAGAATTAAAAAAAATATTTGTGGACCCATCTGTCATTCGCACACTCTTTCTCCATCCCTTCTCCTTCCTCTCTCTCTCTCCCTTCTCTCTCTTTTCTCTCCTCCTTCGGACGCACGCGAGGAGGAGCCGGATCGGCGACGGCGGCGTGCAGGCGAGGGCTGGAGCGACGTCATGCTCCTTGAGATGCTCAGGGGGCAGACTACAGAGGGTGTGCGACTGGGTGGCGACGGCGGCGGCCGACGGGGCCTGGGATCTCCAGCGGCTGGCCGCGTGGCTCAAGGAGAAGATGAAGCGCAACGATGACAACGACGAGGTGTCAACGTGGCTGGAGGAGTCGTGGATGCACCGCTACGCAGTGATTTCAACCATGTGCAAGCGGCCGCGATGCTGGAGCTGTCCGTTTCTTGCGTGGACGGTGAACCAAACAGGAGGCCAAGCATGAACGCTGTTGCGCAGAAGCTCGAGGGTCAGCCTTCTCGAGGGGCTTGGAGCAGGGCTTGCCGCACGAGTGCGGCGTGAGGAAAGATCGTTGGGTGGCTCGCGGCGGTGCCCGCAGAAGCAGGTGTAGGCGAGCTCGCGCGCGGGGACGGCGTGCACGGACTGGCACCCGGGGCAGCGCCAGGAGGAGTCCAGGTCAGGCGCGTCGGCGACGGACGCCGGGGAGCACGCCCACGCCCAACGTAACGACTACCAACACGACGACGACCACTACCACGACGACCACCACGGTGGCCGCCGAGATCGGGGCCCACCAGCACCACCCACCACGGCCCGGTGTTCGTCGGACGCCACTCGATCCGCGTCCGACCATGGCCACACCCGGACCCGACGAGCTGCTCAAGTCGCACCACATCCTCGCCAAACGCAGGGAGATACGGAAGCGGGAGATGGAGGGTGTCGTGGTGTTCGCCGACGAGAACAGCATCCTCCGGACGGAGCTGTTCGACGAGGTGCAGAAGGTGAAGTCAGTGGGCGCCATGCCTGTCGGCGTCCTTGGCGAGGACGAAGGCACCAACGAGATGTTCCTCCAGGCGCCGCCGGGCTGCTTGCCCTTGACAGCGGGCTGCTACGCGTCATCGCCGGTGATCGCCTCCGGCGAACCCGAGTTCGCTCCGGCCCCCTTCTGCCGCTGCCCCTCCGACCCCCGCCCGCCACCGCCACCGTCGCCGTCAATCCGGTCTCTGCTCCCCCGCGCAGGTCTGAAGGGGAACAGAAAGGGGGAGAAAAGCGAGAGAAGGGAGAGAGAGAGAGAGGGAGGAGGAAGAAGGGAAAGGAGATATGACACGTGGGACCCATATGTCAGTGGGTCCCATAATTCCATGTAAGGGACATGTCGACGCCACGTGGAACGAAGACCGAGTCAACACCGCCACGTCAGCCAAAACCGCTTACAAAACCACTCAGGGAGTCAAATTGTACCGGTTTTAATAGTTCCGGGAGCCATCTTATCCAATTTTCTTATTAAGGGGTACGAATTATCTGCGACCCAATCTGTATGACTAGTTAAGCCCACTGCAGCTCCGTTCTGTTTAATCACCGCGGTCATCGCACGAAATCAGTCACAGTTTCATGCTTCCGAATTCTGATCAGTCCAGACAGAGAAAACGATCGGTGACGAAGATTCAATTCAATAATAGATAAATTCAAATATAACATGAATCTACAAGTACAAATGCATGAATGGCAGGGGAAATAAAGAAAGAAAGAAGGTAGATTAATTGCTAGAACACAGCTAAGTAAATTGGAGCAAGCAGGCTTTGACTATTGACTCAGCTCAGTTCTTTTTTTTTTTTGGGCACTATCAGCTCAATTCTTGAGATGGCGACGGCTACCAGGAAGGCAACACCTGGCTATCCTCCTCCCTCTGTCGAATTGAATCGTTGGAGAGTTTGTCGACACCACTGAAAAATGAGAATGACGATTCCATCTTCTCCCTGCCGACAAATATAGCTGTTTGGGCATATGACGAAGGCCTGCTTTGGTGATCACGCCTCTTGATTTGTTCAGGCCCCTCTTTTAATTTGGTCGTGCGATTAAAAAAAAAAGAGCGGGTAGCAGAACATAATTTGGTCGTGCGATTAAAAAAGAAGAACGGGTTGCGGAACAGAGTGAATGTAAGGCGGTTCTGAGCTCTGATCCTTGTGGAGTTTGTGGGTGCTGTGTGACTCTGACTGACTGTGTGATCTGTCTTGCTTCCAAATTAAGTGTTGTTATTATTCCCTAGGGGATGCGTCTGGCAATCAACAACTTTATAAAAGTTGATTTTTCAAATATAACTAATAAAATTAACCGAAAATCCATCTTATTCATAAATTTTATCCCCCCAAGTTAGCATTGGCTCTAAGGATAAATTAATTCATAACAACATAAATGATAATTACATAATTTTTTAATAAGACGAATGGCCAGACACATTTTAAAAAGTTAACGTCATCATATATTTTTAGAAAAAAAAGTAGTATACTAATTTATTAATATAATAGATAATTGTTCTTCCACATGATCACATGTTTTCATCCAATTCTAACCCCAGCAGCAAAGATAAGCATGGCATGAAAAATCAAAGCCAGGGATAGAGAAAAATATGCTAGGGGGCAAACAAAAGAATAACTATCAATCGGGTCAATTTTGGCTGCTACTCCCTTCGTTTCATATTATATGTTTATTTTTTAAAAAAGTTATTTATGTTTGATCAAATTTATAGAAAAAACTTAGCAACATCTACATCACTATATCAGTTTCATTAAATTAATGAACATTAATTATATTTTGATAATATGTTTTTTATACTGTAAATGTTAATATATTTTACTATAAACTTTATTAAAAATAAAAAGTTTGATAAGAAAATAGTCAATCGATTTATATTATGGAATGGAGGGAGTTTTTTTTAAGAGTAAATTTCACAAAACTACATGTAACATCTGGTCCAAATTGCAGAAAACCACACGCACTTTGACACTTGGCACTTGAGTAAATATATTTTGGTTGTTTAGTTTCACAAAACTACACTATCGATGTATAGATTCACCCGCGAGATGATGTGGCTGTTTCACCTAGGACGAGGACATGGCATCCTGTTACCAGCCATCGCACGAAATTAATATGATGTCACGTCCTCATACTAGAGAAACAACCACGTCATATCACGGGTAAATCCATTCATCGATAGTGTGGTTTTGTGAAACTAAACTACCAAAATATATGTACTTAAGTGCCAAGTGTTAAAATGTGTGTGGTTTTTTGCAACTTGAAAGTTTTGTGAAATTTACTCTTTTTTTAATGTAACAAGGCATGATGATCTAAACAAAGGGAGGATGGCAGTTGGTTACGCACTGAGGTGTTTGCCTCCACTTACAAGGCAACTCTGGGCCACCCCAAAACACCCTGACCTATAAATCGGCAAACCGGCCCCAAGTTAGATTCTGACAGAGCTTGAATTTTTTTATAGGAGTGAATTTAGTAAGCATACAAGAACACGAGATGTCTCAGGCCGGAATCGACAATCTTAATCTTGAGCTAGGCATGGTGGGAGCGCAAGTCGCCGGCGGCGAGGCTCCCGCCGCCGGCACATCGCCGGAGACGACTGTGAAGGCGCTGCGGGGAGTGGGGTTCCTCACCCTCGTCATTTCAGTGGGCACGCTCGTTTACAAGCCACCTCATGGCCTTCTCTTCCAGCTTCACGTGCTTGCCTACTACCTCACGCTCGTGGGGATCTTCTTCGCCGGAGTGGTGGAGGTGTGGACGGCGTTCTGGGTGTCCGAAGCCGGTGTCGGCGGTGGCCGTCGCGCGTTCGGGAGAGCCGTGCTCTGGGCCTCCGTCGTGCCGCTCGCCGCCGCCCTCGGAATCGGCGGCTACACCGTCCTGGCCAACGTGCCCAGTTGAGAGGGCTATGATCACTCGCTACCGTTCAGCTTGTTCGCCTCTTCGCTGTAATTTGTGAATGTACTAATGCAGCTATGCTCAATTAGTTCAAAAGGTATTAGTATTAGGATATTCTTTTACCTCTTCCGAAGGTACTGATAAGATTTTCTTCAGATTGCAATGCAGTACTTGGGGAAAGCGATTTTATCTCTCGAGGAAATATCCACTCGTTCCGTGCATGTCAACTAAATAGTCATAAAAAAAATTGAAATATATATCACTCCACAAACATGTAAGTTAAAATTTAACTTCTATAAGTTGTAACAAAAATAACAAATATAGATGCGAATGTACGATAATTATTTTCAGTCTAATTTGTTATTTTTGTTGTAATTTGTAAAAGTTAAATTTGGTCTTGTATGTTTATGTAATAATATATTTTATATTAATCTACGTTGTTATTTTTTAAAAAAAAATTTGATAACTACTCCTTTAGATGGCATATAAATAACGGGGGATATTCTCTCGAGGGATGAAAATCTATATCCCAGTACTTCAATCAATTAAAATAATGAAACAAGCAAAAAAAATTATGTGTTTCAGATTAAAAATGAAATGTAGCAAAAAACTTTTTGCCCGTTAGACATGCATTCAATCACCGTTGCGGTTGACGGTGGTGTGTTTCAGAGGAGAGGAAAAGAGGAGATTGAGAACATATGTAAAATGAACTCATATATGATTAATTAAGTATTAATTACTTTAAATTTGACAATTGAATCAATATGATTTTTCTAAAACAACTTTTCTATTGATAATTTTCACAACAAATACGTCGTATCATCTAGCAGTTTAGGAAGTATGTGTGGAGAACAAGAGAGTTTATCTCCCAATCAGCAGTTGCCAAACGCACAAACTTGAATCAAGATTTTGTTGCATACATGCATCAACATTCATCATAGATATTCACCCATTGAATTTTGAATCTTAAAACTTTTAAAGTTTTCTAACTTTTTTCACGAAAGTTTATTTTACAGTATTTGCTTTTGAATCATCAAGAACATGTATAATTATATATATATATATATAAGTTTTACCTATAGATTATTTTTTATATGTTGGTAATAGGCTGTTCTATATGCATAAGTAAGAAGATGGGGACACGTACAAACAATATAGCAAACATTGAAAAATTCCTAAAATCTTGAGCAAGAAATTTTTTTTGGCAGAGCACCAAAATGGTGAAGTTTCGTGAATCGTGATCATGACGGCCGCCACCGCCTGCACCGTAACGGGAGGCCGTGCGGCTCGCCGCCGTTGTCGGTATCGGCCACTACACCATGTGGGTCCTGGTCAACGTGCTTAATGGAGAGGGTTTCGCTGTCGATCGGTCTCTCGTTCCACTATCTTCCCTCCTCTTTTCTGCAAGGGTTTGAGTGCGCTTCTTGCCATCATCTCCATTGACACTCTCCTTCCCAGCCTCGATACCTTTCTCTCCTAACCTACGGTTTCCGCGCCTGACCCTTTTTCCGCGCTTGCAGTTGCAGCTACATCCCCAAGGACGGCGAGCAGGCGAGCAGCAGTACGATGATCTTGACTCGAGAACCGACCTCCGCCTCCGCAACGAAGATGCAGCCTCCCCCACCAATTCTTACACAAATCTTGGCGCACATATCGTGCGGCTAAAAAAACGTAAATACCTGGGAAATCCAGTACATAATCTCTCGTATATCTTAAACTAGGGGTAAAAATGTCATTTCAAATTTCTCTTGCTGACATGACAATCTAATTAGGAAAAATATCTCACTTATGTGGTATTTATGTAAAAAAAGAAGGAAGAGTGGCATCTCAGTAGTGCCACTCCGTAAGAGTTGCAAGTAGTAGAGAACCCCTCTAGCAAACAACAGAGCAGATCTGGCAAAGTAAGGAGCTGTTTGGCACAGCTCCAACTCCAGCTCCACCCCTCCTGGAGCTGGAGCTCAGCCAAACAGTTTCAGCTCCACCAAAATTAGGAGTGAAGCTGAGTGGAGCTCTCTCATAAAATGAACTAGAGTTGTGGAGTTGGGTTTAGACAGTTCCACAACTCCACTCCAGACCCAACTCCTGGAGTTAAATTTAGGAGTTGGAGCTGTACCAAACAAGCCCTAAGTATTTCACTATTATAGGATCTAAACGCTTCTTCGTAGAAACTACCTCCATTATCCAGCGTTGGTGACTTTTGGCAGGTAGTTGGATTGATGAAGATAGTTTAAGTGTTGAGCTCAATTTGTTATTTTCTTATTGCATGTCAACTCACCAAAATTGCCAGCAAGGTATGCAATTTGCTATAAAATGTGCGACTTGAGGTGCTTAACAAGACATAGTTTGCCAATTGCCAGCATTCAAACAGCCACGGGGAATGCGATGTTCCGATTCCTAATTGCACTGCTATTGGTCCGGCGCAGCTGCAGCAGAGCAGTCCCGCGCCACATGTCTTTATCACACCAGCGCATCCAGCACCATCGTCGCTAGCGCCAGGGTGTCCGCCTCTGCCACCGCCAGTCGAACAAGATAATGGGGTACTTTCACACTAAAGAATTTGGGTATAAATTTTGCCGGCTATTTCATAGGCACCATCTCTGCTTGTCTTGCGATCTGGGCCTATTACATCGTGATTCTTTAGAGCTGTCGGGCGGTGACCGACGCTATTCGGATGGCACTTCAAGTGGAGCGACGGTTGAGGGTGCCGCCGTCCATCCCGCCCACGAGTTCAGGCAGCTCGACGACGGAGCGCGAAATCGAGATGACTGCGCAACGCGACAATGGTAGGGGGCTTGAGCCCCCTCCCACAGTTGGATCTGTCCTTGAAAGTATCCAACTTTTTCACAAAAGCAAAAAGAAGTACACTATATAGAGCAACCAGAGCGACTTGGTGTAGCTAGCATCGTAGTATCCCAACAACATGATCGCGTTTATTAACAGCTGCAGTCCAACATCTCCGATAGAGAAGCTATAGCTAACATTGCCACCATAGACGTCACCGCAGTTGCAGTGTCTTTCGGTTGCATGGGAGTCAAATTCAACGAGGAGGATCATGGCGGCGCCAGAGCCGGCGGCGGCATCTCCGTTCGAGGACAGCATTGCAATGGAGCTCTGACCGTGTTGTCGATCTCCATAGGAATGCGATGTTCCGCTTCCTAATTGCACTACTATTGCTACGTCCGGTGCAGCCGCAGCAGAGTAACCCCGCGCCACATGTCCTTATCAGGCCTGCACATAAAGCACCGTTGTCGCTAGCGCCAGCGTGTTCGCCTCTGCCGCCGCCAGCCGAACAAGATAATGGGGGTACTTGTCACACTTAAGAATTTGGGTACCAATTTTGCTAGTTATTTTGCAGGTACCATCTCTGCTTATCTTGCGATCTGGGCCTATTACGTCGCGATTCGTCAGAACCGTTGGGCGGTGACCGGCGTTGTTCGAATGACACTTCAAGTGGAGCGACGGTTGAGGGCGCCGCCATCCATCCCGCCCACGAGTTCAGTCAGCTCGACAATGGAGCACGGAATTGAGATGACTGCACAATGCGATAATAGTAGGGGGCTTGAGCCCCCTCCCCGGTTGGATATGTCCTTGAAAGTATCCAACTTTTTCACAAAAGCAAAAGAAGTACACTATATAGAGCAGCGAGAGCGACTTGGTGTAGCTAGCCTCGTAGTATCCCAACAAAATGATTGTGTTTATTAACTGCTGCAGTCCAACATCTCCGACAGGGAAGCTATAGCTATCATGGGCACCATAGACCTCACCGCAGCTGCAGTGTCTTTCGGTTGCATGGGAGTCAAATTCAACGAGGAGGATCATGGCGATGTCGGAGCCGGCGGCATTTCCGTTCGAGGACAGCATTGCAATGGAGCTCTGATCGTGTTGTCGATCTCCATGGGAATGTGATGTTCCCTTCCTAATTCCACTGCTATTGCTAGGTTCGACGCATCAGTAGCAGAGTAACCCCGCACCACATGTCCTTATCACGCTTGTGCATAAAGCACCGTCGCCGCTAGCGCCAGCGTGTCCACCTCTGCCGCCACCAGTCGAACAAGATAATGTGTTACTTGTCACACTTAAAAATTTGGGTATCAACTTTGCCAATTATTTCGCAGGCGCCATCTCTACTTGTCTTGCGATATGGGCCTATTACGTCGCGATTCGTCAGAACCGTTGGGTGGTGACCGGCACTGTTCGGATGGCACTTCAAGTGGAGCGACGGTCGAGGGCGTCGCTGTCCATACTACCCACGAGTTCAGGCAGCTCGACAACGGAGCGCGAAATCGAGATGACTGCGCAGCACGACAATGGTAAGGGGCTTGAGCCCCCTCCGCCGGTTGGATCTGTCCTTGGAAGTGCCCAACTTTTTCACAAAAGTAAAAAAGTACACTATATAGAGCAGCGAGAGCGCCTTGGTGTAGCTAGCCTCGTAGTATCCCAACAACACATGATCACGTTTATTAACAGCTGCAATCCAACATATCCGACAGAGAAGCTATAGCTAACTATTGCCACCATAGACCTCATCGCAGCTGCAGTGTCTTTTGGTTGCATGGGATTCAAATTCAATGATGAGGATCATGGAGGCGCCGGAGCCGACGGTGGCATCTCCGTTCGAGGACTGCATTGCAATGGAGCTCTGACCGTGTTGTCGATCTCCATAGGTGCAGTGCTTGGCCTACTGGCACATCGAGCGCTTCATCAAAGGAAGCTCTACCTAAGGCTTTGTTCATTTAATCCTGTCCAAAGGGTTGAGAGGAATTTAGAGGTGATTAATTCCACACCTCTCAATACCTAAGACTCTGTTCATTTAATCCCCACGCAAGGGGTGAGAGGAATTTGGAGGTGATTAATTCCAGACCTCTCAATCCCCTCCAACCCCTTTCTCATGGGGACAAGCTCTAAAGTGAAGCATCAACTTCTCTTTCTCGAAGACGTCATCACCGAGCTAGCACTGACTTGCGTCGTCGACTGCGATGCCCACGATTTGTTAAAGCAACAAGAAGCTGGTTATTCTCGGCGCACACATCGGAGTTTGATCAGCACGGGACGACTATACGTCGATGGGAGCTCAACCAGTACCTGATAAAGTTAATTGCCTACATACACATATGCACGCTATCGATTTTATGTTACTAATATGTACTACTGTTTGGGAGCGAGATCACTTATAGGTTAAGCATGTGCGTATAGGATCGAGTTAAATAATTTGAGTGTGATATGATCGAGCTTGCTAGTTGCGCTTTCTCCATCGAGAAAATTACATATCTACCATCGCATAACAACATAGCATTTGATTAGTTGAAATGCAATTGTTTAAATGGGAATCACTAGAATACCACTCTCAAGTCTCAACAGAGTACCATCTGACACAATACCATTTTCATCCTTTTTTCCACTTTAAGCTTAGTTTATTGTCTTTGTAGTTGTTTTTTAATGGAAATACCCTGGTCAAAAGGTTGAACCTGATAAAGTTTTCTTTTCCCCAATGCTAAAACTTTGTCATGTGAAGCATATAAAATGTGATGTTTTTTTCATATAAATTAAATAATTTAGCAAGTCATTAGTAATTTAAATTGTCAGAAGTAAATCTATTACATGGAAGATAATCCAAAATGTTAGAAATGCATCAATTACAACTCAGATCTAAAACATGCAAATAAATCAATAACAATTGGAGAGATAAATAACCCAGAATAGCATCATCACATTCTAGGTCCAAGGGCATTTCCGACAAACAAATTTTAAAAGAGAGTAAAATCTTTTCTAAGTGACAAAAAAGATGAAAATGGCATTGTGTTAAATGGTACTCGGTTGAGAATGATATTACAGCAAAACCTATTTAAGTGATGATATTCTAGCGAATTCAGTCTTATGCTATGGTAGATATGCATGTATTCCTATGTAGACATGTATTGTACTCCTTTTGTTTTAGGTTACGAGACTTTTTGACATGGTCAAAGTCAAACCACTCTAAGTTTGACTAACTCTATAGAAAAAAGTAGTGATATTTACAATACCAACATAGTTTCATTAAATCTATAGTTGAATAAATTTTTATAATATATTAGTGTTGGGTTAAAAATATTACTAAATTTTTCTACAAAATTAGTCAAACTTGTAGTAGTTTGATTTTTACCAAAGTCAAAACGTTTTATAACCTGAAACGGATAGAGTATCAACTACGTCATGCACATTGGACTATACAAACATACGCATGCGACAGACCATCACCGACACACGTGTGGTGGGGTAGCGGACCCATGCCTTAATTCGTTACAACTTATCAAGTCCATATAATTCCATAATGTACTGTAGGTTGATTTTATGATTTGCGTTACATACATCCTTATTATGTTGTTCATGTTTATAAAACCATATAGGTATATACTAGTTGATACCTCGCGCTTTATTGTTGGATATGTGGATGGATGCATTATAGAAATGATATATGTATATGTTTAAATAACGTGAAAATGATGTGGAGATAATGATTTGACATTGCTTACATATTGAGTTATAAAAATAGAACAAAATTGTAAATGATATATATCATGTTTATATGATATTTAAAATACTCTAGATAATAATTATTAATGTGTAATGATATGATGTTAAGCTTTAGGAGTTAGTCGATATCAATTTTATAGTAAGATATGATTAAGCTATGATCCTTTCCTTTATTAGCTCAGCAAGAGCAGCTCTAGCGTGGCACAAGACGCACAACTACATGCTCCAGTCCAATCAGCCCACCATAATTTGGGCCGGAATAAGGAGGCAGCAAGAGGGCTCAGGGCCCGGCCCATCACCTGATCACCTCTGTCTCCGTGTCCCTTCCCATCCCCATCTCCGAATCGAATCGATCTCCTCGTTTCGACGACTCGTCTCCTTCCTCGTCATCTCCAAGTTCACCAGCTCCCCCTCCTCGCCTGCTCGCCTAGGGTTTCGATTCGGATCTCGCCGCCGTCGCCATGGATGACCCGTAAGTACCTACCCCCTCCTTCCCCACCGCCCTCTCTCTCCCCACCCTAGGGTTTCCCCGTCTGACCTCGATTCCGCCTTCGATCCGTCCGCGCCTTGCAGCTACATCGACGAGGACGGCGAGCCGCTCATGGACCCCTACGACACGCGCGACCCCTCCCCCGAGCCCCAGCAGCAGCCCTACGACGACCTCGAGGACGACCTCGGCGACGACTGGAACCGCGGCCGCTCCCCGACCCCCGTGCACGGCGACGACGGGGCCGGCTCCTCCTCCAAGCCTCGGAAGCGCCTCCTGAAGAAGGGCGGCGGGGGAGGTGGAGGCGGCGGCGGCCATGGGATGCCCAGCGACGGGCTGGATGACTGGGGCGAGGAGGCGGCGGGGTTGGCGGATGACGATGTGGACCCCGAGGCGGATGCCGCGAAGAAGAGGAAGGGGTCGTCGGCGCTCAGGGACCTCGCGAGGGGCGGCGGGAAGGAGAAGAAGGAGAAGAAGAGGAGGAAGGAGGATGGGAGGGAGAGGGAGGGCGGCAGGGGAATGGGGATGGCAAGGGAGAAGAGAGGCGGCTCTGGTGGGAAGGGCTTTGGCGGCGGTGGTGGCGGCGGGCATGGGGACCAGGATGAAGGGGAGAGGGAGATCCAGGAGCTATGGGATACCATCGCCGGGGGTGACTCCGAGGTAATAATTGATCATGTTCTTCTAAATCTTATTATGCTTGCTTTGTTCCAATGTATTTCAGATGTTTGTTACGGAGTACTCACTATTAGCTGCGTGTTTGCTGCTCGTAATCTTAGCTTGCAATTGTGTTAGTATGTTAGATAATTGGGATTCTGCTGACTGTTGTAATGACTAATTAGGATTCCGTCTGTTAGACCTAAATTTACTTCATTCTGCTGATTGATGTAGCTTTTCTGCTTGATGGGGCTGTTAAATATTTGCTGGGTAATCTTTTATGTTGCAACTGTTGGTTCATTCACATGCTACTTGTTATTTTCCTAAGGGCTGCTAAATATTTGCTGGGTTATCTTTTATGTTGCATTTGCTGGTTCATTCACATGCTACTTGTTATTTTCCTAAGGATTCCAGATTATTCTTGAGGTATTTTGTTAGTGGTCTTTGTTGCAGCCTGTGCTTTGCAATTAGGATGTCTAGCGGATATCACTTACCGAACTTATGTACTCGTGGTTACATTTGCTCTCTAGTATCAGTTTACGGATTTGTTAAATATGTTTTGTTGCTTAATATTGAGTCACTAGGCTCCTTGTGACTTAACATCTAGATGCCCTTGGATTAATTTTTCAAGGCAGATTTTGCCTCTTGAGAACCATGATAACTTTTAGATTTTCCTGCCAGAATTTCAAATTGTTGATGTTATGCAATATTTAATCTATCGTTGCGATTCCTTATTTCCGAGTGTAATACTTAGGAATAATTGAATAATTATTATCTTGGAAACATCATTAGGATGATACTTTGCTAATCTTCATGATATTTGAGTTTGCCTGCCTACCTCTCTGTTTCAGAGATTTATCTTTGGATGATGTGTGGGAATATCAATTCAAGTTTGACAATATATTCTACTAGCCTTGGACAAAAAAAACACTCTCCTAACATTTTGTTTTCATGTAACAGGATGACCAAGAAGGTGTCAGAACCTTAGATGATGATAACTTCATTGATGATACTGGGGTTGATCCAGCTGACCGTTATGGCAGCGATAATGATGGCCACTCACCTCGGCATTACCCTCAGGTATCCATCCTAACATCCTTAACTTCTCAGATGCTTTTCAGGTTATTATTGCATTTCAAGTTTACATGAAAATTATATGGAGAAGGAAAAGAAAGGAAATGGGCTCTATGACAAAAATATTTGACACTAAGTTATATGCTGTGGCTGCTTATATTTATGTCACATACCAATGATTGATTATAGTGACTAATGCCCATATCATAGTAGGTAAGGTTATGGACTTTCTCAACTAGTATTTAGTTACACACATGCTGATATTTGCATCTTCCAGAAGTTTTACATAGCATAATTACCCTGCAGGAATCATAGGGTATAATATCCTTGTTGATGAAGCTCTAATGCCTTGCTGTCTCATAGATTTCCAATTCAAAATAGTCGGTTTACACTAGAATTGCATAATATTTTGTCTGTCCTGCTTTATTTTTTGTCTTGTGGCTACCATTCTACATTGCAAACTAATTCTCTTTATCATAGGCAGAGGAAGGGGAAGAGGATGATGAAATTGAGCGGCTCTTTAAGGGTGGGAAGAAGAAGAAAAAGAACGATCGACCTCGTGCTGATATTGGTCTTATAGTGGAACAATTCATTGCTGAGTTTGAAGTGGCAGCTGAAGAAGATGCCAACTTAAATAGGCAATCAAAACCAGCTATTAATAAACTTATGAAGCTTCCACTACTCATAGATGTACTCTCAAAGTAAGAAGTTTTGAATGCAGATAGTAGCATTAGATTGTTGCCTCTGGTTCCAGTCCAAGTTGCTATTTCGTAGCTAGTCATAAGTCATAACTATTTTCTTCTATATCACTATTTTGCAGGAAGAATCTCCAGCAGGAATTCCTTGATCATGGAGTTCTCACTCTTCTAAAAAATTGGCTTGAACCTTTGCCTGATGGTAGCTTGCCAAATATGAATATTCGAACAGCTGTTCTGAAATTATTAACTGATGTAGGCTATCTTGCTCTTGTTTCGTTCTTATTGCACCATAAAAGCCCACTAGCTTTAGCATATGCACACACTTTTAGTTCATATGGCTTTATTTTCATTCCTCAGGACTACTTTCTCATGGAAGGTTTTTGATCTATTTACACAGTTTCCAATTGATTTGGAGCAATACGATAGAAGGGAGCAGCTTAAAAAAAGTGGTCTTGGGAAGGTATAAGCATCTTTTGATGGTCCCCACATATTATGTTCTGCGTACTGAATACTGAGTTACTGACCATCAATTCTTTTCCCATGTCACATGTATAGGTCATTATGTTTTTGTCAAAATCTGATGAGGAGACTACTTCTAATAGAAAGCTGGCCAAGGAACTTGTTGATAAATGGGTAATTTCATGTTCTTTCTAGTAATTTCTAATTGTATGGTTGATTGATGCTGAAGATTCCTGGTCTCTGTGAGACTGACTCTGAGAAAAACAAACATGTAGAGTCGACCAATATTCAACAAGAGCACACGATTCGAGGATATGAGGAGATATGATGATGAAAGAGCTCCTTACAGGCGACCACAAATGAAGAAGTGAGTCCTCTGTTTCTCGTTTATTCATCAACCATCATAAGAATTACTATATAAACAATATCTAATCTTAAGTTTCTCTATATTTGTTCTATTTTCCACTTTGATGTAGGCCTTCATCAAGTAGTTCTGGAATGGAATCCAGGGACGATGATCTTGATGCTGACTTCTCTCAGTAAGTCCGATAATGTGTCCTTCAGTGCAGGTTGAATCTTCACTCCATCATGTACTTATTTTTTTTGTTTTGTGCTATGAATTCCAGGCGCAAGTCTGGGCAAGGTGGTGCAAGGCAGCATGCTTCTAGGCCAGAAGCATCACCCTTGGACTTTGTTATTCGCCCGCAGTCCAAAATTGATCCCGAACAAATTAGGGCTCGTGCTAAGCAGGTTGTCCAAGACCAGCGCCGGCTAAAGGTTCTGTCCCTGCCTACAAGACTTGCTGTTTTTGCTAGCATGTTACATTGCTGGACGGTTTTGCCATGCCATGTGAGTTACGCAATTAATCATTCTTGTCTGTCATGCAGATGAACAAGAAATTGCAGCAGCTGAAAGCACCAAAGAAGAAAAACCTTCAGGCGTCAAAACTCAGTGTTGAAGGGCGTGGAATGATCAAGTACTTGTAAAATATCCACTTCGAAGCACTTCGAAGTTCTTGCATGGTTGCATCCACAGCGCCACTGCAAAGCAGTGTCTGCATTGGGCCACGGAAGCAGTATCAAGTACCCTACCTCTATCGGGGAGCGAATGGTTTAGCCTTGAATAATTTCTTGGATAATCTTGGACTGTTGATCCAAGCTCTTTCCATTCTGGTAGGGTGCTATATGTGAGCTTGAGAGACATGGTGATTCGGGCACTATTTATAACAAAGGTTTATACTATTGTTGGTCATGATGGATATATTGTGTTTAAAGAAGAATGATGGTGCCTCTACTGTATACATGTTTATCATGCTTTACAGCAAAATCTGATCGGGCTGTAACTTTTATTTGATTGAAGTTCCTGACCTTTGTACTAAGACTAAAGACATGAAAGTCTTGCTGTGGAATAAACATATTGCGACAACAGAATTGTGCTTACGGCACCCAAGAGAGTTGAATACGTGTTGTTCTACTATAAGACTTTGTTGACTTGTTGGCTGATTCACTATAACTTTTTGTTGTCTTGTTGGCTGATACTAGGATTCACTATAAGCAGTTTGAGGCCTTGAATAGCCTCTGCTACAGCTCTACAAAGGTTGTCAAATGTCATCCTAGAGTTGCATCTTGTATGGTTTGTTGATCACGCAGACACCCCGTTATATTTTCAACGCTATACGCCGGCACACGGATATCTTTGGCATTATTTTTTTTTCTAGAAAAAATAAAATAAGGCGTCAGTATACCTTTGTGTACGAATTTTGAAGAATTTCACGACTTCACCTAAGTGATCATATGCTGATCTTTTCTGGTGGAAGATAAATTACGATGCCGGTAGGCAAAAGGCGAAATCTGAAACATAGGTAGAGCGAAACATGGCGTAAATCTGAAACGTAGATAACGGACTAACGGCTGCTGCTGCCTGGAACGTAAAATTGTTGCTAAGCAAAGCACTTCACCGACCATGGCGTAAATTGCGCGAGACGGCTTGGCTGTTTCGCCAGCGACGTTATTGCGAATTCACTTCGTCAAAAAGGATCAATGGCTGATGCTTGTATTTTTCATTCCTGTGTATAGATTACAGTACCAAAAAAAATTACAGATTAAAGTCAGGCCAAATAAAAAAAAATGAAGCCTGCAACCAGCAGGAACGAAATAAGCTGCTGCTGCTGCCAAATGGAACAAAGAAACAGCCAAAGAGCACAGGACAAGGCGACTGATTACCTGAAAGGGACACAACAAAAGAAAACCTGAACAACAAAATCCATTCTCCTCTCTCCGTTCAATATATATATATATAAAATCTAGATTCGTAGTATTAAATGATTTATTTTTCATGAGATGATGAAAGAGGTGTGTAAAGGCACTTCTTCACTCTGGCAATGATCTCCGTAGCCTGTTCATAGTGTATTTAAAACCTTGCTCTTTTCTAATATAGTGACGTGTAATTTCCTTTAAAAAAAGACACTTGCATCAAGAACACACAAAAGAAAACTAGCACTCCAGCTTGTAAGGAAACTAAAAGAAAATAAAAGACAGAGAAAAAAGAAACTAAAAATAGAGGTCGGCGTTCGTCTCCCTCCTGTCCCCCGTTTCCACCTCTCCATTTCCAAAGTCCAAACTTTTCTCCCTCTCTCTCTCTCTTCTGAGGAGGCCAAGGCAGCACGCGTGGCCGACCAACCTCCCGAGCCCGCGTGATCCGGCAGCATCGATCGCGCGACGCGCTCGCATTCCTCCTCCCGCGGGGAGGAGCCGGCAGGATCCGGCAGCCGGCGCCGTCGCCGCCCCTCGCCGCCGCCGCCGCCATGCCGCGGCGGGGCGAGACGACGGTGGTCCCCATTGAAATGGGCGGCGGCGGCGGTGGCGGTGGCGGAGGAGGCCAGGAGCGGCCTAAGGCCCCGCGCCGCCACGGCAGCCACGGTCCAGGGCACTACGGCAATCACCACCACCACCGGAGCCGGCCCCCGCCGCCGCCGCCGCCGCCGTCGGAGTTCCGGCCGTTCCGGCGCTGGTTCCCGTTCCTCGTGCCGTTCTTCGTCGTCGTCAACGTCGCGCTCTTCGTCGTCACAATGTACATCAACGACTGCCCCGCGCATATGCAGGCCACCGGCGACGCGATCGGCGGTGACGTCGGGGAGGGCGCCGCGTCGCAGGGGTGCTGGCTGGAGCCGGAGCTCGGGAGGTTCGCGTTCCAGTCGTACAAGGAGAATCCCCTCATCGGGCCCTCCTCCGCAACGTAAGCCATCCACGCACCACCCCATAAAATTTGAGATCCTTCAGGTCTCTCATTCTCATGGTTGAGGAACAATGCAGCGGTTAGGGTGAAATTTCGCTCATTTCTGATTGGTGAGATGGGTGATTCGGTAGGCCATTGGGGTTTCGTTTCTTATCAAAACTTTGGAACTGGCACTATTAGCTTAGGTTTAGATCAAATGGAATGCCTTTTCATCCATGAATGGTTCAATCTTGGGGATTTTTTGGGGGAGTCAATTTTGTAGATTACATAAAGATAGTGACTGTTGCAATGTTGTCTGTTGACGCTATTTGTTTGTGCATCTAATTTTGTTGTGGATGTAAATCTTGTGCCTTCTTAAAATAAACAATTTAATGAGGAAAGATTGCTGGGTATAATACTTTATTTAGCTGTATTTGCCTTAGCAAGGGTGGAATAAATAATGTTGATACATAAGACAAAATTTTCAGTGAATACTCAAGCTTTATTTCTGTTTATTGAAGATGGTGCTAATTTGAGAGTTCAACTGACATATCTACCAATTCGTCAGGCTGTTGAAAATGGGGGCACTAGAAACCAGTAAAGTTACCAATGACCATGAAGGCTGGCGCCTCATTACATGCATTTGGTTGCACGCTGGTGTTGTCCACATACTTGCTAATATGTTGAGTCTCCTATTGATTGGAATCAGACTTGAGAAGGAATTTGGTTTCAGTAAGTATTGAAATAATTTAACATTGAACTTCTTGTGATTCTTCACAAATATTACATGTTTTACTTCTGCAGTCTGTATAATTTCTTCAACAGCTACTTGGCATATAACTAAGACCATAGATTTTAATTATTGTCTATTGCAGTGAGGATTGGCACGCTATATGTCATCTCTGGGGTTGGTGGTAGCTTGCTGTCTGCTCTGTTTATGGTGTCAAATATCTCTGTTGGTGCCTCAGGTGCACTGTTTGGATTGCTGGGGTCCATGCTGTCAGAGCTGATAACAAATTGGACAATATATGAGAATAAGGTTTGATCTCAGATCTATGCATTTATTTTACACAAATCCTACTGCATTTCTTGTTGCTAATTGCATTCTTGTTTAATAATCCAGTTTGCAGCATTATTAACTCTAGTCATAATCATTCTCATCAACTTGGCTGTTGGGATTCTTCCACATGTTGACAACTTTGCTCATCTTGGAGGATTTACATCGGGGTTCTTTCTTGGTTTTGTTCTTCTAGTTCGCCCACAGTTTGGATACATTAACCAAAAGAACTCTCCTCTTGGACTTCCCATGGGTACAACTAAAAGCAAGTACAAGACATACCAAATCATACTTTGGGTTATTGCTACATTAATATTGATTTCTGGGTAAATTTCTTCTCCATCAGCAAAAGAGCAATGATAAATATATTTAGCCGCGCATTTGAACCTCATGCCTGCATTTGCTAAACTTCACTCTTGGCAGGTTCACCATTGGATTCATATTGGTACTGAAAGGGTTCAATGCCAGCGAGCACTGTTCTTGGTGCCATTACCTGAGCTGTGTACCTACTTCAAAGTGGAGTTGCAACACGCCAAACAACTATTGCATGGTAAGTTCTTTCTATGGGTATGCTTCTTACTAAAGGTGATCTTCAGTCTTCACCAACAAAATCTGATATTTTTGCAATCACTAATTGGTATTTATTTCCCTTTTTGTTATCAGGCTTTATGGGTGTATTTTATTTAACAGAACAAAAATGATCCATATAAAATGGATACAAGAATCTTGCAATTAGATGAAAGCCGTTTGAACTTTATTATAAAAGGTTGCCTTGATTGGTTTTGACCTATCATTTCGTTAACAATTTTGCAGTTCTGTTTCCTTTCTACTTAGGGTTATGTCCTGAAGCTATTTTACTGTATAATGGCCCAGTACTTTTTGCTACTTTTGCTAACATTTTGTGACCTTTCTCAACCCGTAATGATAACCATAGAGCTCCCTTCCAGAGGTTATTTATCTTTCAGTATGGTCATCTTTGTAGTGCCTACATTAATATTTCACTTTTGCTATATGTTCTTATTGTAAACTTACTAATGGGGAGCTTCTCCTGCAGTCTTCGCAGCTTGGAAATCAATTAAATCTGACATGCGAAAGCAATGGAAAGACTGAGGCATATACTCTCAACAACCCAAATAGCACGGAAGCAATTAAACACCTGTGTGTTCACCTTTGCAGTTAACGATGAATGTTTGTACTTTGATGACAAGTACTTCTCACGCAATGCACATTTCTGGAAGAGAGAGAGAAGCCAATGTGGTTACAATGAGATGCTCTGGTAATGCAATACGTTTGGCTTCTATGGTTTCATTCTGTTGTATGTACTATGTGATGTAAATGTCAGTGGGCGGTTGTGGAAGATGGCTAACTTGCGGCACTAGTTCTGATTTCAGAAATGCCAATGCACAACTTGCATTCTAACCTTTTCTTGTGAAGATACAAAGATTGTCTTGGGTATAAGCTGTTGTATCAAGAGAAGGAAGCTTGGTGAATCTCTCCAGTAGATGGTGTGTTGCATACCATGTATAATTATTATCCAGAATATTAGATACTGAGTTGTTGGATGGAGGGCAACCATGGCTAACAAGTTTAGGAAGTAGAACTATATCCTGGTTGTCAAATAAAGTTAGATCAATCCAACACACAAGGTCAAGGATGGCTATGCGGCCCCATGTAAATGTCAAACCATGTAATCGCATATATTCTCCACTGTTGAGCTTCTCCAATGTATAACTATGATCTAGGTCAGTTCATTTATGCTTCTCTACCACTGGTCAGACATGAATCATGCAAACATGTATGCTCAGTGAGTTGACATGAGAAGATGAGCAAACAAGACAACTGTGAATTTGTGACAGACCAACATTTCTATTGTTGTGTATGTTGTGTGTGAAGTGTTCATGTCAATTGTCAGACTGAGAACTGTTCGTCTTCAGCTGGTCTGAGATGTACTTCACCACCTCCTTCGTCGTCGCCTTCCTGCCCTCCCTGAAGTTCCAGAGCTCATTCATGGTGTGCCGTCCACGAGGATTGTACTCGTTGAGCTCAGCCATGGCGGCTTTCACTGCATTGCAGACACTATCACCGTAATCTTTGCATAACTGCCTCAGTTTTTGATCATCTTCATCTACAACTCCCTGCAATCGTCAAGAAATGCAGCAGATTGGAGGGCAATAATTCTTAGATTTACAAGTTCAGAAAATGCAACCTCAGAATTCAGAAATGGATGCGGAGAAATTGACCAGTCACCTTATCTTCTCCATCAACCTGAATAATCTTAAACGGATGCCATGATGGATTCTTCAGTTCTTCCTGCCAGTATGAGATCAGCATTGCAGCTTTGCCCCTAGGATCATCCTCCCTGTGCTTCCTCTTGCATGCAAGGTGAAATGGCCTCTCATCAAGTTCTCCCATCCTTTTTATCCCAATAATCGTGCTCGTGGTGATCGTCATGTTCTCGACACCCTGAGAATTGTGGCCATTTTCATGGATGAAAAATGTACTATTTTGCTACAATCTAAGTCCCAGTTCGAGCAGTGAGAACTTCTTGTCAATGGATGGGTGTTTACCTTAATCAACTCCTGTCGATATTCTTTAAGTTCATCGCTGTTCGTCCGCAATCTTTTCATGATTTCAGCACATGAGTCAACCAGCATTTCTTTTTCTTCATCTACAATCGTTCTCAAACATATCATGATGCTGTAAATGTGTTCATGATCTTCCTTTCTGAGGCTCCCCCCTGCTTGTAAATTCATGTTCATCTGCCGTATTATGGACTCTAGTGACTGCCTCTGCTCCAGCTGCTTCTCAAGCTGATTTAATTTTGCATAAATGGCTTCCATGTCTTGCTACAATAATAAACATATACAAATAAGTTTAGGCAAGAAGTGTCTAATGATGATCGCAATTGGTACAGATGAACCTTGCTAATAATTGTTCTAGTGTTGAAGATAAGAGAAGAAACCTTATGAATTTTATGCAGCATTTGAGCATGGACATCACGATTCATCTCCGGGATGATAATTTCAGCGATTTTTCTTAGCTCTGCTTATTATCAACACCAAACAATCTCTGAACAAATCAATTTCTGACGAAGATATTGACGAATTCGACATGAATTTCGTGCAAACCGTTCACAAATTCGGACAGAGATATCAACGATTTCGCCATGAAATTTCTCACAAACCTTTGAGCTCGTCGTGCAGCGAGGTGTTGCCCGCCTCCGCATTCTGCACCGCCCCGGCCATCTCCTCGCACTTGCGCTACAAGAACACGGCCCGCCTCTCGTGCTCGCCGGCGATGGCCGCGAGCTTCGCCGCCACCCTCCCTTCGTCCCTCTCGACGTCCTCCGCGCTCCTCGCCGCGCCGCCGGCATCCCTCAGGAACCTCCCGACCAAGCCGTCGCCGTCGTGCAGGTCGTCCTCCCCGGCGGGCCAGCCGTACACCGCGCCGGAGGTGGCATCCTCCCCTGCGAGCCACCCGTACACGGCGCCGGCGGTGGCGCCCTCACCTCGCCGTCGACGCCGCCACTCCCTCCTCCCGGCGCCGGGGAAGCGGCCGGGGAGCGACATGGCGTCCCGGAGCCCGGCCCAGCTCTTGCCGAAGTGGAGCACCAAGAAGTGGTGGTGGTGGCCGTCGCCGGCCGTCGCTTCTTGGAGCGCGGTGGTTGGGACGCCGGCGAAGTGCTGATGAGCGTGGAAGGCTAGCGTGCTCGCGGCGTCGGCGGTAGCGTCGTCGTCGTCGGTGGTCGTGGCGAGAATGCCGGTCCACGGCCAGACGAGGAGCTCGCCGCCGCCGGCATTGTGCGTCTCGGCCTCGGCGTCGGCCATCGTGACGTCACTCGACATGGATCGTTCAGTAGGTTGGGTAGCTAAGTACTCAACTCTGCTCTTTTTATAGGTTGGTTTGTAATTAATTTGGCATATATTGTTTTGTGTAAAAACTCAAAAAATATTTTGCATTTTGCATGTCGGATTTTCTCTTAGGGCAATTGCGATAGTCGTAAGTCGTACGTTCCTTGCAATATCTGCACAATCTTAAAGCTCTGAGTGGCTTTGCCTGCACACATAAGGCTCTAGTGAGTTCAAAGACATAGCTGCTTGGTAAACGTCTTGCTGAACATATCGACAAACCAAAATAGTATGAGGATGTTTTCAAAAAAAAAAAAATAGTATGAGGATTCTAAGGTTTTTCGGCTATAAGTATATGGTAATTATTTATACCAAAGTTTTGGATATGTCAATTAGAGGATTAAAAAACAAGGTTGCTTGTTCGAAGCATATGTAGCATTTCACAAATAATAAGAAGACAATGAAAAACAATTGGCAAGATATAATGGAGCAGCCCATTCCAATACTCAAGTAAAATTTCATCACCTTCGGTTGACCCGTAGAAAATGAAAACTGACTTATTGATCATCCTATGGAAATTCAGGACCGAGCATGATCAAAAGTAGTATTAGTTTTAATTTTAATCTCCCCAGCAAATCTCATCATCTACTAGGTTTTAGTTTCTTCACCGAACCCTATGAAATTGTTCTGAATGATCCAACTGTTGTTTCTTATGACACAAAATAGAATAAAGTAATCACTAAAACAGGAAGCAGGCCTTTTAGATAGTAGCAGTTGGCTGCTGATAGTACACTAAATAGATGTAGCTTGCTAGTTGCTACTTCATTTTTTCACACCAAGAGAAGTACATATCCTATTCCAAAAAAAGAAAAAGAAAAAGAGAAGTACATATGGCCAGTTTCCTTGAACAGTTAAAATTCTTAATAATCTAGGTGAATGATAAAAATGAGAATAGAAAACTCACATTCTTCTTGTAGTTCTCATTCTCAGTTTTCAACTCATTGTTCTCCTTTTTCAGGACCTCGATCTCCTAGTTCTTCCACTCAACCGTTTGCACTGCATGCTCAAGATCCTTGGTCTTGAATTTGAGTTCCCACCTCAGATTCTCATTCTCTTGAGAGAGCCGTTCAGCTTCCTTAGCCAAGTCACTCAGATACTGAGCTGAACACAGAGAAGCCACACATTTCCAGGATCTCAGATTGCTGTGTGAACAAGAACAGGTGATGCAATTTAGTATGAAAGATTGAAATTCTATGTGTACCTTGAACCTTTTTGTTCTTGATCCCAACTTTGGAAGTCTGCACCTTCTGAGGTGTCACGGTTGCTTTCCTTTTCCTTCTTTCCAGCCCTCCTCCAGCCTGAACATAATCATCTTCAGAAACCTCCTCTGCATTAGAACATATTTCCAGTTAAATCTTTGTTACAATAAGCACATATTCTAGGAAAATTATAGGGGAAAAAATATTGGCTCTTGCAATTTGAGAACAGCATCAATGGCAGGGCAGTACTAGATTGGAAAAAAAAAAAGTTTCGCCACGTTTTTGGGTTTGGGAATTTTAGGGGTTTCACCCCCCCCCCCCCCCTTCTAAAAAAAGGCTATTGCGTTTCCATCAAATTATTGCAAGAGTATTGGAATATATGGTGGAATAAATGTGTGGAGAACGTAAATAAGCTGCCTAATCTGTTGAATGATCGTTGATTAGGCTGGAATTAACTGCTGAAATGTAGCAATTGGCAAAACCCTAATTGTTTTTATCAAAGATTAGGCCCAGTGATGCGCTGGATGATCAATCCCCTATGCTATTAACCCATCTAAAAAGCATCCATGAACTCCAAAAACTCTAAAAATGGAGAGGCGATTACACTTGCGATTTCGAGAGGAGATGATCATGGCTGAAGTAAAACGAAATGTAATAAATGGAGATGATCTTCCTCTTACCACCACGGGAACGACGAGGCCTCTCCTTCTCGACGCACGAGTCCTTCTCCGTCTCGCCGCCGCCGGGGCCCTTCCCCTCCTCGCCACCCTCCTCCTCACCATCATCATCAACATCGTCGTCGTCGTCGCCGCCGTCATCGACGGCAGCATTCTTGAAGCGCACGGACCACGCATTGGCTTCGTCAGACACCGCGGCGGAGAGGTCCCCGCGTCCGCCGCCGCCGGCGGCGGCGGCGGCGGTCATGTCGGCGTGTCCCCGTAATCGGCGGGAGGAAGTGGGTTTTGCGTTGTGGCGATCTTTGTTTTTTCTCTCCTCGATTTCCTCCTCTCAAGTCTCAACTTTATGTGATGCTCTCTAGAAAATCTTCTGTGTAATTTTTTTTTTTCATTTGCCGCTCTGCTGGTGTCTCTCCCGCGCCACTTACAAATTGTAAAATCTAGTAGAAGAATAGATAATGCTCCTAAACGGATGTCTAATGTGATTGGAAAAAATCTTACTCCCTTCCCTTCCCGGGTCCACAAGTTGAATGAATCAAAAGTGACGCTGACATGTGAGCCCGGGTGACAAATAAAAATGAAAATTTAGGAGTGGTATTTTGGGCATGTGCATTTTGGGAGGATGCTAGCCTCATTTTTCATCCATTGAGCTGGTGGACACGTGTGAACCTGAAGGAGACTTATATGTGGGTCTGGGTGCTAATGAGAATGAAAATTTGGGAGAGTGACATTTGAGCATATGCACATTGGGAGGGTGGTAAATAGTAAATTCTCCCACGGCTCGTAGGCCCATTCTAACTGGAGTACTTCACAACGGGATTGTAGACTTCACAACTACCCAATGTGTCATCGTTCAATGTCTACAGTAGTAGTATCGATTTGTTGGTTAGTAGATTGTCTGATAGCAGAAGAAAAGAGAAGATTGATAAGATACGTAATATTAGGTGAGCTATTGGCGTGTGATTAGTTGAGTATTAATTATTTCAAACTTGAAAAATAGATTAATATAACTTTTTAAAGTAACTTTCCTATATATATATTTTTTTTATAAAAAATACATTGTTTAGCAGTTTGAAAAACGTGTACGTGAAAACAATGCACTTTCTCTCTCACATATGAATTAACTTGGCATGTCTCATGTGACAAAACTGAAAAGAATTTTGCCTTTTGTATGTTGGATTCATGACCAAAATTCAAAACATGAAGGACAAGAAAAGGAACAAAGGTACATAAAAATGAATAACTTGATCAACGATCGATTGATCACAGACAATGAGACAAGTATTCCTAGTTCTTGTTCATGTCCCAAAAGAACTTGTTTTAGGGGACATCCCATTTCCCTCACTGAGTACGCAGAAACTAACACTTCCACTACTGCTAGGACTACTAGATAACACATAAGTTCACATCATATGAAGATTAATTAAAGTGCAGAAATCCTCATGTTCTGAAGCAGATTTATGATTATTAATTAACTAACATAGACTGGCACCTAAAAGCGTCACTAGCAAGAAGCAAAATGAGGCATTGCTATAACCATCTTTCTGAATCCTAGCTCCAGGGCGTAAAGGCGTAAATTTGAAGATTTCTGAATCCTAATGTTAGTTGGAGTCGTCTCCTTCCTGTTCTTAATAAGACCTTCTTTGAGGGCAATTACGGTAGTCGTGGGTCGTATATTCCTCGCACCATCTGCAGCGCCTTGCAACTCTGGGTGGTTTTGTCTGCACACATGAAGATCATAAGTCAAAAGACATAGCTGCAGCAACTTGGTGGTTGACAGATTTACACTAAATAAATAAGGGTGGTACTAGAATGGCCATATATGGCATGAAAATGGTAGATTTACTTGCTGAATATTAAAGATCATTCAGTTACAAGTAGGTGCTACTTATAACAAATAAGAAGATTGCTTGCTCAAAGCAAAATGTGATGTTTATGAGAGACTAGACTAAAAAAATGGGACCAATCTAGGAAGGACTAGATTGATTTTGAATTAAGGAGGGGGTGAGGCTCGAACCCAGCCCGGCTAGCTCACAGCTTGCGTTGCTAGCCGGGAAGACCCCGGGCCTTTCTCGAGAGACTAGACTACACTGAAGAGAGTCAGTATCATATTCAGGGTATCGCATTACTACCTAAGATTGTTTAAGAAAACCATGTGATAGGTTAATACACAGATTGTTTCCATATGTTACTCTGTTTCCATGCTCTCAACTGATAGGTTCCTCAAATAATAAGAAAACAATCAATCATCAATAAGATATAATGGAGCAGTCCACTCCAACACTGTAAAATTTTGTCACCCGGTTGACCAGTAGGGAAAAAAGAAAACAGTTGTGAGTACAGCAAATTGAATTCTGCCTTCACCATATTGGTCAAGTATGATCAAAAGCAGTGTTAGTTTTCATGTTAATCATCCTGACATATTTCATCACCTATGGACTATGGTTTAATATCCTCACCTTATCAATCTTCCTATGAAATTGTTATGGATGACGCGAAATAGAAGAAATAACCATAACACAAAGAACGCCTTTTAGTAGTACTAGCATTTAGTTGAGAATACAAGAGATATCTAGCATGATACTCGAAAGAATCTAAAATGATTTCCTCCTCAGCTTATAGATCATCAGAACAAGGGGAGTTGGGGTTTGTCCCATCACCCTAGGCTTCTCTCTTTTTTCTTTTGTTATTATTATTTTAGCAACAAATTTGTCAGTTGTGTGTGCCTAACAGTAGAGATTGGATATGTAAACCACGTCTATTGTGTAAGAAATATGTAGCATGCGACGTGATATCCTCACACCATGAAAATCATGTATTGCCAGTTTTTTCGCAGTGTTAAAAGTCTAGGTACATGATACTATGAAAGAAATGGGAAGAACATCATATAAAACTTACAGTCTTCTTGTAGTACTCGATCTCAGCTTTCAGTTCATCATTCTGCTTTTTCAGGGATTCAATGTCCTTGTTCTTCAGCTCCAACTGTAACCTGAGCTTCTGATTCTCTTCATGCTCGAGCTCCTTTGTCTTGAGAGCGAGCTGCAACCTCAGATTCTCATTCTCTTGAGAGATCCTTTGAGAATCCTGAGCCAGCACAAGAGCTGAATGCAGAGAAATCACAATTTCAGGGTATGCACCTCAATTTGCTGTGCAAATAAGAATAGATGACGCAGTTCAGCTTGTACCTTGAACTTCTTTGCTCTTGATTTCAACTTCAGAAATCTGCAGCTGATGAGGTGTCTCAACTTCAGAAATCTGCAGCTTATGAGGCGTCTGAACTTCAGAAATCTGCAGCTTATGAGGTGTCTCAATTTTAGAAATCTGCAGCTTGCCAGGTGTCACGGTTGCTTTCCTCTTCCTTCTTTCCAGCACTCCACCAACCTGAACATATTCATCTTCAGAAACTTCCTCTGCATTTGAACATATTTGCAGTTAATCTTGATGTTAAAAGAAGCACACATTCTCCACACAGCCAACGTCCAGGGGAAACAAAATGACAGAAAAAAAAAAGATATACTCTTGCTATGACAACAATGGCTGCACTGGATTAAAAAATTATATTCTTCCCCACATTTTTGGGGCTGGGATTTTCTGAGGCTTTCGGGGGAAAAAAGAGAATTTCCCCTAATCCTTACGTTCCATCAAATTACTGCAAGAGTAAAAGAATGACGCAATAAATGTGTGGAGCACGTAAATTAGCATCCTAATCTGTCAATCGATCATTGATTAGACTGGAATTAACGCCTGAAACAGCGAAATATAGCGGTTGACAAAACCCTAACTGTTCTTACCAAAGATCAGGGCTCTACGCTGTGCCGGATAATCGATCCCCACTGCTATTCACCCACCTAAAACTCTAAAAGCATCGATCGATGAACTCCAAAGACTAGAATGGAGAGGCAATTGCACTTGCGATTTCGAGAGGGGATGATCAATAACGAAACGTAAAGGCTGAGCTGAGAGGTCTTACCACCAGGAGAGGGAGAGCTACCACACGAACGCGGGCTACTCTGCCTCTCCTTCTCGCCGCATGAGCCCTTCCCCTCCGTCTCGCCGGCCGCGCCGCCCTCCCCTTCCCCTCCCTCCTCCTCCTCCTCCTCCACCACCACCTCCTCGTCGCTCTCTTCCTCCTCCACCTCCTCGTCATCGTCATCGTCATCATCAACGGCACCATTGTTGAAGCGCAGTCACCACAGCTTGGCTTCGTCGGTGACTCCGGCAGCGGCGGCGGCGGCGGCGTCCTCGCGTCCGGCCATGTCGGCGTCCCGGCCGGAGGAAGTGGGTGTTGCGCTGCGGCGAGGGCGAGCCCTCGCTCCTCTCTCCTTTTTTTTCTTTTTAATAATTATTATTTCTCGCTTTTTTACTGCTCGGTAGTAAAAAAAATTCAGCTTCCCGCTTTGCGAATCTCTCTCCCCGCCCAAATTAATCTTTTTTACTTCCACTCCAAAATTGTGCTAAAATGTTTCAAAATATATGTAGTAAAAATCTAAAAAGGTTTAGAAAACAAAAATTATGACCGTCAAAAAAAGGCCAAACGGAAAAAGATAGAGCAACTACTCCCTCCGTCCCAGAATATAAGTATTTCTAGCAATAAATTTAGACATATATATGCCATTTATAGATAGAAGTTTTTATATTTTGAGACGGAGATAGTATAACTTAAAATATCGTGGACTTTTTCGATCTAAAAAATCGTGGATTATTTCGTGACTGGATGAAAATGAATCATCACGAGGCATTTGTTTGGTAGAAAAATATGTAAAGATGTGCCAAAACTGGGAAGTTAATGTTATATAATACCGGAGAAGTCTAGAAATATATTTTATATTTAAAAGCAATTTTTATATAAAAAGTTTTTTTTACCGAACGCACCGTGTGTAAGTTTGAAAAACATGCGAACGAAAACCAAGACAAAATCTAAATCTTAACTAGAGTTTAAATCACATCATGAAGCAACCACCAAACCCGGCCCATAGACACGAGAATGCCCACTCGCATTTGCGATTTCGAAACGAGCGGGCATTATCTTATGGGTAAATTGGAACTATGCCATTATAATTTTGTAAAGTTTGAGATATGCCATCGGTATCTCAATGGCATATAGAACCCAATGACATGTGGGTCAAGATGGCATATCTCAAATTTTACAAAATTATAATGGCATGGTTCCAATTTTCTCTTATCTTATATGAGCCGCTCGATGGCTATAACTGAGGAGACATAAAACGGCCCATAACCATCAAAACGCTTTGGAATAAGATGACTCGAATTTAATATGTGACCCTCAACCACAAAATCGGATAGCACGACTCCCCGAACTATTCAAATCAGTGCAATTTGACTCCCTCAGCGGTTTTGGAGAGCGGTTTTACTGATGTGACGCTTAGGTGGCATTAGAATTAAAAATATTTATTTACGAATAGAGGGACTATACAAGACTCTCTGATGAATGCATGACTCCAGCATGAACTGTAAACTCCTAAAAAAATAAAATAGGATAATCAAGAAATGCAAACAAGGATGCTATCAACACGCAGCCTGTCACTTGGTCACCTCTATCGGCTCTAGCCACAGCATGACTAACCACAACATCCAGATCACAGAAAAATTAGTAGCTAATCACTTAGATTTATGATGTCTTGGACCACGAAAGTATATCGAAATTATTACAGACGATTATTCTACAATTCAAAGGGACACAACACAGGATTATTTCTACAGCCTGACACTGACCATAACCATAATCATTATAACTAAGGATTGGCACAGCCTTATGGGCATCCATTGATCAATACACTAGTATTCATCAACTTAGACCCATCAATTGACCAGCGCCTCCAACCTGACCTGAGATGATAACAGAAGGCAGCAGCTCTTGATACCTAGCACCAATACCCAGCACCTCAAACCATCCTTCGCTTGCCTGTCAGCTTCTTCATCCATCGAAGGACGAACTTCACGGCCTCCTGCGCTTGCTGGTTGTCTCTATCTGTCCAAAGATGTACTTGAGCACCTCCTTCATTGTCGCCTTTCGGCCTTTCCTGAAGTTCCACAGCTCGGGCACAACATACCGTCCACTGGCATTGTACTCATTGACCTCGCTCAGGGCGGTCTTCACTGCATTGCACACATCGTCACCGTACTCGATCCACAAGTGCCGCAGCTTCGTGTCGTCATCATCTACAACTTCCTATAAAATTCGACGATGGTTACCACTTACGAAAAAAACCCTAGGGTCTAATGTCAGAGATGGTACAAGAGTAAAACATAGAACAGCAGAGCAAATACCTTATCTTCGCCATCAACCGTTATAATCTTATAAGGATGCCAGGATGGCTTCTTTATTTCCTCCTGCCAACTTGAGACCAGCTCCGCAGCTTTGGTCTCATAGTCATCGTTTCCGTACTTTCTCTTGCATGCATTTTGGAAAGGTTTCTCATCAAGTTCCCCCATCCTTTTTATCCCAATAGCAGTTCGCCCAGTTAGCATGTCCTCCAAACCCTGTCAATTGCAAATGATTATGATCATGTATGAAAACCTTTTCATGAATATCAATCATTAAAGAAATAAAGAACAGATAGGTATAAGGAATTTTGCCAATCATCATAGAGAAATGGAGTAATACCATTATCAGTTCTTTTCTGGCCTCTTGTAACTCATCGTTGCTTTCACGTTCTTTCTTCACCAGCTCTCCGCTCAATTCTTCCAAACGTTTCTTTTCATGTTCTAATCTTTCACTCAATTTCTCCATCTTATCATGAATATCCCCATCATCGTCTCCTTCCAAATGCTTCATCACTTGAAGTGTACCATTCAGCCGTGTTACTTCAAGCTCAAGCTGTTGTTTTTCATGCAGCTCTTTTTCCAGCTGAAGCATTCTTGCAAGGACATCTTCCTTTTCCCTCTGTTATTTTTAAGGTGTATCAGTGAGTCAATTCTCATCATAAGAGAATACAGTCCCGCTAAACAGGAAAAAATAACAGAAGTAAAAAAAAAAGTTTCAAACCTTCTGATCCTCAACTAGCTTCATTACATCTTCATCAGCCCTCTGCTGTTCTATGCTTGCTAGCTCAAGTTCACTATTATCATCCTTTGCCTATACATTACATTTCAGGAAGTAAGCATATATATTACATACAGTATTTGCAGTACACACTTGGGTTATCATAACAGAAACATTCAATACCTCAAAATAAGTGTATTGCAAATCATGTAAATTAACAGTATAGCCTAGGCATGATACTTCACCAGAGGTGCATATGATCGTAGCTTAGTATTTCACCTAGATAGTTCATTAGATTACCTTTTGCTTCTGATCATCAAGTTTTTTCCTGTCGCTTGCATTCTCAGCTGTTATCTTTTCAAGCTGCTTAGCACGTGAATTCAATTCTCTCCTCCTGCTATCTAATTCAAGCTTCAAGTTTTCATTATCCTGGAAAACTCTTAAAGCATAATCACGAGCTCTCCGGTGTAGATTGCGCATTTCTGAAATGGAAATATAAATGTTGTTACAACGTCGTACATTGATGTCTTAGACAGTTTTTATTTTATTTTATAACGAAATGAAAATACAATTACTAGCTAAGCGATGAAAGTTAATGATTAGGATTATTATTGTGTTTGTCCCTGTTACCAACATTTATCTAACCAGGTTGGTCTTGTGGTATATGGTAATAGCATACAACAAAACAAGAAAGGAATCACATAGATAATGGCAGACCTGACCACTATTTGTCTAACAGTCTAACCAACTAAGAGGATGCTATTTCTCTAAATAATCCATGTCTAATATAAAGGCTGAAGCTAAATAGCCCAACAGTTGCAGTGCAGAGGGCTCCTCCACAATCAATCATTTGAGTATTTGACATGTGCCTCTAGGACAAAGAGACAATCCATCATTTGCTGCTTCTGTGTAGATTCTATAGATAATTCATGTCCTTGAGGTATGGAGAGTTGGAGAAACTACCAGTAAGCGATGACAGGTTACAGGACCAGTGGTTACAGATCAGGCCTGATTGTGAACAGCGGATGGAAGCAGGAGCAAATTGCATTAGAGAACTACCTACAACCTAATCTAGTTCTGCTGTTAGTGATACTCTTAGATTTTTCTTGTTATCTTCACGCATGCTACAATGACTATGGGTTATGACAGTGGGCAAATGGGGATACTCATGTGCCACAGGTCCTTGTAGCAAATTTATTCTTTGCTTAATGCAAATGACATGCATATCTCCTGTACCTCTGACATTTAGGAATTTTAGCATCACAACAGCAAATTGATAGTGCAACCGTCAAACAGAAAAAGAAATATATCATGTCTTGATTTCCTCTAGTTCATACAAGCTCAGCTAACATGGCTAGGCATGTGACAACTACGCCTATAAGAAATGAAGCACAGTTGCACATCATACCTTCATTATATGCATCGTGTAGCTTCCTGTTGTCCTCCTCGAGCCGTGCAATGGAGAGTTCGGTTGCATTCTTTTTTGTCTCCAAGTCCTGCAAGAATCGATTTTTCGCCTCGATCTGAGTTGCCAGTATCGCTACCATCTTCCCCGACTTTTCCGATTCACTCTTGGAGACCTCATCTATGGTTGTCAGGTTCGTATGCTTCCTCAAATACCTGCCCACCACATTCCCGGCATTATAGTCCCCTTCTCGGGCAACCCAACCATAAACCTTAACATCTGTGTCCCCATCATCTCCCTTCACAGCATCTCCAGCACTACCCCTTGCATCCCATTCATTCTTCCCAAGCTTATTCTTGTTGAAATGGTTCTCGAGCGTGAGCGCATCGCCGAATCCACCCCAACCATTAGCGAACCTCACAATCGCAAAGCTATCAGCGCCTTCCGCATCATCGACAACTAAAGGCACAACATCATCCAAACCAAACATTGCGACCCTATCCGCGAAGTCCTCGGCATTGAACCCTGCACCAGCTGCAAGAACCCCACTCCATGGCCAAGCAAACCTCTCCTCCTCCCGTCTATTCCCCGCGGCCACAGCCGCCACCGAAGCGGATCCGTCTGTGTCGCCATTGGCATCCGCCTTCTCCTTGGCACCGGCAGCACTAGAATTAGAGATAGCATCAGCAGTGGTGGCGATCCCGTTGATGGCGGCGAGGTCTTGGGCGAAGGAAGGGTCGGTGCGGACGAATCGGGCGAAGGCGCGGTGGAAGGCGCGCTCGCGGCCGTGGCGGCGGCGCTTGCTGGAGGCGCCAATGCCGTCGGCGTGCTGGAGGAGGTCCTTGAGCTTGTAGTCCTGCTTCTTCTTGCCGGGGCAGAAGGGGCAGCGGAAGGTGCCGTCCGGGTTGCGCACGCGGTGGTTGCCGGAGCGGAGGAGGCCGTAGGACCTCTCCTCGTAGTCGCTCTCGGCCTCGGAGTCGTCCTCGGAGTCGCCCTCGTCGGAGGAGTCCTCCGCCGCTGCCGCGGACGTCAGCCCGGCGGCTTCCGCGGCGGCCTCCGCCTCGGCCTCCTCGTAGGGGTCGATGTAGTCGTCCATGTAGAGATCCATTCCGAGGAGGAGGAGGAGATCGAAGGGCGGCCGGCGGCGAGGCGCGGCGCGGCGGCGGTGGCGGAATCGGCGAGAGAAGGCAGGGGGGTTTTGGGGGTGTACGGTGGAAGGGGGAGGGAGGTGAGGGGGAGTGAGAGTTGAGTTGGTGCGGTCATGATGATGACGGGTGGGTCCCACCTGTCGGTGGTCTGTAGGGCCCACATGTCAGGGAGCTTTGACCTGACGAGCTGATGCTTCGTACTACTCCATGGGGGTTTATGATGGCCTGTGCTTATTCAGTGCGTTTGTCGTTTGTTCTTGTCTGTTGAGCGTTGCAACGTGTAGGAAATGTTCTGCCAGCATAAACGGGAGTTCAGAATCCAAGAGCCCACTCGAAATCGCATGGTTGGAAAAACTGAGAAATAAAAAAGAACGTAAAATTAGAATACAAGTGTAAAATAGAGAATTGTAAAACATAGGAATAGTCGTCTGATTGGATTGTAAGAAAAATAGAAATCGGTTGAGAGATTAATATAGACTAAAAAAATTTCTAAGCAGTTAGAACTCTTACTAAGTTTCCTCCAAAATCTACATGCAATGAGCCATTTCATATAAATTTCATAGGATTTGGAAAGCTTTAACCTTTGAATCAAATGATCACATAGGAAAAATTCCATTAAGATTTGAATACTATGAAATCATATATAAATTTTTCTGATTCAAATGGCCCTAAATTGAAAATTGCAAAACCATCATCTCATCTCAGTTTCAGATTCCCCTCTAAGCTATAAATACCTCCTCATTCATCTTAATTTTGAGATTTATCCCCAATCAATTTTGCTCCCGTGTTTTTTCTCCTCTTTCCACCTGTGTTATGTTCTTGATGGACATGGCCCTTGACACATCTTCATTCTTAGCGGCACAATGTCATACCAAAATCATCTACTGAATTTGAATGTGCCAAAGAAACCAGCCGCCACCGAATCCCATGAGCCAAGCACAACATCTCATCTTCCGGTATCCCATAGTGGAGACTTACGATCGCCGTGGCCCAACAACGTGGTGAGTGCAATGAGTGAGGATGCGCTAATCGTGTCATCTCAGGCTTGATGTGCGGGGAATTTCTTGTCTATCAGTATTCAAATATGAGTGTATCTGGTGGCCTTCGTCTAGGGCATGCTTGCCTGAGCATCTCCATCCCGGCTTCGATTCTCTGATCCTCCTGGCAACTGTGGAAGGAACGGAACTCCAAGGTTTTCAACTCTACACTATCTTCGGTCTCGGAGGTCCTACAATCCATCCTCTCAGAGGGCCATCTATGGTCGTTAGCTGGCATTGCTAATTTTAGGGTTTTTTGGGAGAGTAGTGGGCTCTGCCTTTCCCACTGTTTGGAGTCGTAGTAACTTGGTCTTTTGTTTCCCTCCCTTTCTTCACATAAGTTGGTCTGGCTGATTGCGTGTGTAACAAATATTCATTTCTTCTAATATATTGATGTGCAATCCTTTTGCGTATTCGAGAAAAGAGGAGGAAGTATCTGCAACAAATATTTTATAGGGGATCTTAACTCAGGATGATATTGAGGTACATTTTTGCAATTTTTCCTTCTAACAATTACTCCCCCAAAACATTTTGGGATGGATGGAGGGAGTATCAGTCATACTACAACTACTAACTTCTAAAATGGCTGCACATCGTTGGATTCAGTAGGGGGGAAAATTGAACTATATATACTTCACTAAATTTATTTGTTTGATTGACTAGATTAGTCACTTGCAACGATGTACACGTTGGTATACGCGGCGAAATAACAGAATATCTTCAAAGCCGTACGTAGCAATGCTGCATGCAAGGAGAAGAAACTCATCATCAGAGGTTCATCGCATCAGAGTGGCAGCAGGTAGTGGAATTCGGCGCTGTAAGGCTCCACCTCCACCGCCTTCGCCACCGCCGCCTTGCCACCGGCGCCGGAGGCGCCGAGGAGCTCCCTGATGGTGCGCTTGAGCTGCCCCGTCGACGACGACCGGCCGGGGAGCTGGCTGTAGATCCACTCGAGCAGCGACGCGACGTCGTCGGCGAAGTCCCGCATGTGCCAGTGCAGCAGCTTGGGGACGACCACCTTCTTCTTGCTCGCCGCGCGCACCGACGACTCCAGGTACTCCACCTTGGCTCGCTCCAGCTCGTTCGAGATGTCCTCCGCCGTGTAAACTCTCAGCTGCAAATCCAAACACACAAGAATTCTTAATCTGAATTCTGAACAATGAAAATATTTTGTTCAGGAAAGACTGTGTTTCGATCTGCCAATGAAACGATTCAAGATTGTACGTACTGCAGGCGAGGAGCGGCTGCCTCTGCACAGAGCGAACACGACGTTGGGTTCAGGGTATCCTAGCCCGTAGGAGAGCTGCAAATCTCTCTCCCTTTCGTCCATGATTCCCTTTTTGTTCATCAAGTTTATCATTGTTGAGTTTGAATCAAACTAATTGATGTATAAGAACTGTGAAAAATAATGGCATGTGGATTGTTGTGAATCTGCTTACTTGCTTGCCTTCAGGGGAGTGTCTCAGGATGAGATGCTCGATCGACAGAACATTCAGAACTGTTCCTCCCACGTTCACTGAAGCCTGGTGGTAAAGAAATACTTTGTTCAGCGTGTGGTTTAATATAACTGAGTTGAAAATTAAGTTGATTTCTCTGTCAGAAAGAACAGTCTACCTGATTCAGCAATCCAAGAAGCTTATCTGGAGATGGAGGTAAGCCATGCTGAAGACATGCCTAAAACCATTGTAAAGTACAGTTTCTTGCATTAGCAATGAATGAAGCAGTGCTTATTTCATCACCAGTGTGTTTTGTTGATCAGGGCAGCTTACTGTACATGCATTATGCAGAAGTTGTAGATGTTAATCCAGAACGCCAGCTTCTGCTTGTTCGTCAGAAAACTTGGATCAACATTGCAAAGCCTCTGCATCAAGATTCTGTGGAAGCAAAACAAGTGACATCAGAATCGAGTTTTACTTTGATTACTGTACTGCAACAAAAAAAGGGGTTATAGCTCACCTCAAGTTCTTGATGTCTACAAGACACGACGATATGCGGCTTACATCAAACGAGCTCTTCGTAAATTCAACAAATCTCTTGTGGCACCCAATCTCCTTCTCTGCTCCGTCGCCGCCCTGTGACATTCTGCGGTTCTTGAGAGTGCTAATGGCTGCGCCGGTGATCGCAGACGACTTAGGAACAAGACTTCTGGGGCCAATGCAGGAGATGTTGAGCTTTGATGTGCTGCTCATCTCCAGCTCTGCTGCATTCGTTGTTTTATTCAGCTTGTGGAAGATGTTCACTGTCAGTCTGATCAGCTCCTCAGAGAGCTTATTTGGGCCACTCAAGCAGATTTTCCTTTCAGGGAGCTTCAAATTCTCAAATGAGTGGCTGCTTCTTCGTATTTGCTCAACTTCCTCACCTACTCAACAAAAAAAGAATCATGAATCAAAATGTTTTCTATCCTTCTCTGATAGATAGATGCAGCAAGATGTTCGTTTGTGCTGTATAATATAAAAGAGGAATCTGCAAAGAAGCCTGTGTACTAAAATTCTCTCTGCGAAGATGAACAAAAAGTTGACAGACTGAATTTTATGTGTCCTGATGACTCTGAATACTTGAGCAAGAACTCAACAACCAACAGAACATTTTTAGACCTAGAACTTTGGAGTGCATATGAATGATGAAATTTGTGTACCTTTGCTAGAGACAGATCCAACAGAAGCCTTGCTTTCACATTCAAGAGCTTCATCACTGCCAGGACAAGGTAGCCTTGGTAGCAACTCAGCTCCTTGAAGCTCCCTCCTTCCACCAAGGCTGCAGATGGAGTGCCTCTGATGGCGATTTTGCGGCCAATTCTGCTGCTGCTGCTGAAAAATGCACTGATCAGTCCACTTGCGCTCCCGGTGAAGCCGCAGCCGTAAGTCGTCCACCTTCTTCTCCAGGTAGAATATCTCATCCTCCACAATTGCTAGCTCTGCAAGGAGGCCCCTGATCTGCAACAATGGAAAGAATGAATTATTGACTTACCAAAGTGTTTCAAGTGATATGATGGCTTATAGTGATATACTTTTCGCATTCTCTGATAATCGAAATGGACAGACATGCACCGATAATTGATCAGAGTAGTGTGCTGCTCACTTGCTCAGGTTACTCAGAAGAGTATGAAATACAGCAGAAATTTTACATTGGCTGTTACCACAAGGTGAATTAAAAAGGAATAAAATAGAAAGAATTACTATGAATCTATGGCTCCATCTTGCAAGCGATCGACAAGTTATAACGGGTACGAGTGGCCAGGATCCAAGGGGAGCAGATCTGGTAGATAAGGTGTGAGAGATTATCTGTAGACAAATCAAGATTGTGCAATGAAATGGGCAAACAGTACTTGTATTGTCCTCATGTCAGGAGTCAGAGATCCAGATAACATTGTACGTTGGGGGAAGGAATCCAAAGTGGGCACAGTTTTTCAACCTGAGATACAGTAAGAATCATTCACTGACTCTCTGAGTTTCTGAAATCCCTGACTACGAAAAATTCCCAAGAAGCAATCATCTGTCACAATTATCATAGGGGGATATCCTGGTGTGTCTACTCCATGCTCATTGCAGACAAGCAGCAGGCATAAACTGGACAGTATCAGTATCAGGTGTCAAATCTTATCATGACAACTCTCTCTTCGACTGTACGCCACTGATGAATCACTTGCAATCATGTTTTCATCAAACTTTCTCCAGTCTCAACAGCCTCGACAATGAAATGGAGACACGAAAGAGTCATTTATTGAGGTTTTTCGGGCTCGAAAAAAGAGTAATTTTACTATCCTTAACGAGGTAACAGAAGGAACCACATTTTCTAATGTAATTCTGGTACCTCGTCAGAGACAGTAAAAATTATCTGCAAAACAGTAACTTCTTTGAAATTTCAAGAAAAATAACTGCAAATCATTTCCAAAGAACCAGCAAATATCACAATGCGAAGAACCCAAGAAAATTCAGATGAACAGAGGCTGATCACTACTACTACTAATCAATCGATCACCTTGTTAGGAACGAGGGTGGAGAGGCAGCAATGGCAGACGACGCGGCCCTGGAGGGAGCAGTGGAGGATCCTGCCGAGGCGCGTCTCCTTGTCGAGCGCCGCCTCCAGCTCCGACACCTCCAGCTCCAGCTCCGCCCGCTTCCGATGCTTCTCCTCCTTGTCCATCAGGAAGTACATCAGCTTCATCCTGCACCGCCGCACCCGCGCCCTTCTTATTGTGCACCTCCCACGCCTCCGGTACGACGACGCGGCGGCGGCCCGTGATGGCGTCGGCGAGCTCATTTATACCTCTCCTTTTTCTTCTCACTTTCGGTGCCGGGAGAAACAAGAACAGGTGAGCTCTCGGTTGCTGGTTGGAGAGGGAGCAGGAGAGGAGGAGGAGGCGGCGGCGGCGGCGGCGGTGGAGCGCGGCGTGAGCGGGGTCACGCTTCCCGTGGGGGTGACGCGAAGCGCGCGGCGATGCAACGCATGAGCGGCTTGAATTCTCGCGAGGCGGTTGAGGGAGATGAGCTCGCGGGAACTCATTTATTTATGCTGCCCAGTAATGGCGGGAAGCGGCAGCGGACCGTCCAGTTAATTTCTTGAGTTAAAACTCGAGTTAAACACAGCTGAATCTAAATTTTACTAGTTTTTAAGCCGTTCTGAGATCCATCTCAAATTTGTGTTCATTTTTTTTGGTTCTGAGATCTACCTCCATAGTCCATAATCAATCCGTTCTGAAATCAAATTTGCCAAATTTGTGTTCATCTTTTGTAGTTCTGAGATCAAATACCCAAACTCTTGGTACACGATAACTTTGTTTATCTGACCAAATAATCAAATTATTCGATGGGCTAATAGTGGCCAAAGAATCAAATTACATATCGAGTACTATGCTATTAAGAGTTTTGCCAATTCTGGTTAAAATTTTGTTATGAAACCCATGGCCTTATAATAATGGCGGCCTAAAAGTTTGTATACTGCTCAAGAGAATATATCATCGTACGAAAGTGTGATGCAAGGTCCAGACATCTGACGAAAGATTGGTCCATTCTCAAATTGATTGGCAGCAACCGTGCAAAGTTTGCTCAACGGTTGCGTTCAGAGGATTGTGCCAACTGAGCAGATCAGCACACAACACAAGATATTCCAAAATTTGAGGTACTATGGCAGTTAGCCTGTTACTTGGAATCAATCATGGGGACCAAAAGATGCAAAAACCTTAAACCTCACTAGACATTGCAGACCATAACACAGAGAAACCAGAATTGATGCCTGATTCATCAGACTGATATGCCAGCAAGAATAGGTGAAGGGACCAGTGAAATCTGATCTGAAACTCACATGATAATAACTCACGACAAAAGGAGCTAAACATTATTGGTATGGTAGTATGTTCAGTGGTGTGCATTATTAGCATTGCTCAAGCTGCAGGTAGCTTCAGGGAAGTGAAGGGGAGGAAAAAGAGTAGCTGCTCCAGCACAAAACTACTAGCATTACATAAGCACAGAAAAAGGTATGATCCTCTTCAGACATCTTCCCACGCCGAAGGTGAATGGGGTGAAGATCTTAGGCGGACTTCACGGTGGCGGAGTTGATGATGTCGATGAATTCAGGCTACAGAACAAAGAAAGGGAGACGGTATTCAGTGAATCAGGCGGGTAATCATGTCTGTACAATCGTTCTACTGTGTTCGTATTATTCTTTACCTTCAATGAAGCACCACCGACGAGAAAACCATCAACATCAGGCTTTGCTGCCAGCTCCTTGCAGTTCGCACCAGTTACGGAACCTGTAGCAAAATCATGTAAACAATCATGTCCAGGCACCAGGACAGTTGTCGCCTAAGGTGCACTTGTGCAATCAATCGTAAAGTGTTTGTTCAAGAAAATATACTGTAGATTTATACCTCCATAGATGATCCTTGTTGATTCAGCAACCTCTGCACTGACATTAGCAGCGAGCCACTTCCTCAGGCCATCATGCACCTGATACAATAATACAAACCAGATGGTTGTTTAAACAAGATATTTTATCTAGAGCATAGGTAACAATTATGGAACGTGCAGAAGTTCATGAATGAACACTTTGTGTGCTTATCAATATAAGAAACTTACTTCTTGTGCTTGATCTGGTGTAGCAACTTTACCAGTTCCAATGGCCCACACAGGTTCATAGGCAACAACCACATTAGTCCAATCCTTGATCCTTTCTGTAAAACAGTCCATAGTCATTTCAGCCTGAATTCTCATGTGATGAGCTAATCTTTTATCAAATGATGCTAACTATGAGACATTACATTAAGGTCTAGATTAAACCATTAACCACTTGAACAAGTAATCACTTGAACTATTACATTACATTACTGCCTGTGGATTCATCTGATCACCAGATGTTCCCATTTTTAGAGTGCTCCCACATAGTGAATATGTGATAACCAAGTGGCTTATAAGACTTTTAGCAAGATTTTTTTTTTCTGATGTAGAATGTGTAGAATTTAGCCAAACAAGAAATGAGTAGTGCATCAAAAGAGATCTAACTAACTTTCGCAAGATAAAGCTTCAATGAATGGAAAATTATCCTAGATACCATTTGAACATATAGGCGAACAGCAAACCATTTAGATCAAACGAGTACACAAATGGATAAGGAATTCAACAGAGTCAAAAAGACCAAAAGTAGAGGTTAGATACCAGAAATTGCTTTTGTTTGTGCAGCAACAACATCCATGGTCGAACCAGATTCCCGCTGCTCGAGAGTCTCACCAACACATGCAATGACCTTCAAGCCCTGAGAGAGCGCATATGCCACTTTGTCTCCAACAAACTGCAATTCAGGAAAGAGCAGGAAACCATTAGATGATTATGATACGAAAACCTCACAGCAGATCATCCACCAATTTGTAGCGAACAAGATCACCTTTGTAAAATTAAGTTGGTGATATATTGGATTAGGATCAAATTTAGTGCCAGCTAAGTAGCTACAATATTGTCTCCAGTGACCGTTATCCCCAGGTTTGGCTTGTTGCACTATTTCCAGCTAAAACTATACAAAATTCATATCTGCACATTTCATAGAATGTAAACTAGATCATACCTCATTTGATTCACCCAACAAACTCCTCCTTTCAGAGTGTCCAAGAATAACCCAGGGAATACTAAGGTTGACAAGCATCTCAGCGCTGCATTAAAAATAATAGATTAACAACCAACTTAAACAAAAGATGAGTTCAATGGTGAATGGCTTATAACCTCGCCTAAAAGCGAAGACGGCTATTGAGACTGCCAATCATACAACACTAACTGTGACTGAGCAAATATAACAACATGCAACATGTAATACCAAGTGAAGGCAGGCTAGCTTGAAAAGATGGCATGCTAGCTTGAAAAGATGGCATTGTTTCTGGGTGATGTTAAATATGAGACCTAATCAAACAGCGTAATGGCGCATCTTTCTGCAAGTAGGTTTGTAGCTAACCTTCTGGTGATCATTACAGCATGTTGGGTGTACAACTGAAACAGAACTGATAACTAACCTGACCTCACCGGTGAAAGCCCCGCCCTTCTTCACCCAACAATTCTGAGCAGCAACTTGGATCTCCGGGCGCAGCTGACTCTTGACCACGGGAAGGAACACATAAGGTGGGCTGACAACCACCTCTGCAGCACAATGGTTCCAGATTGATAAGCATGTCCTACCATGCAGTTTTTTTGTATACAGATTTCGTGGGAATGATAAAAACAGAAAATATCGCACTTAAAAGGAATCAATCTGCAACGTAGTCCCACATACCAACAACATCTGTAGAAGCAATCTGTCCCTCATTCAGAATTTTCACAATTTTGTCCACCTGATCAGTGGTCCCGTTCTGTTACATCAAAATGAATCATGTCAGTCTTTAGCAAGCAAATATTTGAAGATTGATACAGACCACACTACGACATTGAAATCACACAAAATACCCGTGCTTTTCTTTCGCATTTCTCAGCATATATGCATACGAGAAATTCGACAAGAAGCATCAATACCACTACCGTTCTCCAAGTGCATGACGCGTTTCTTGTGTAAGTTAACAACAGTTCAAAGCTAGAAATCACGATTGACAAAAGCTAATATGCACCATTTGATTAATAAATCTCCGGGTGTTGGCTCCTTGATCTGACTTAAATTCTAGACACTTGATAATTCACGTCAGAGACAAATTCTAGACACTGGATAATACACGCATGCACCTCATAAAAGTTTCAGACTCTGAAGTCTGAACCGAGCTAAACATACCCGACATCACACTTTGCGCAAGATGGAACACCTGAAGATCAGTGAACTCCAAATTTCCCACTAAGAGTGTCTCGCGTTGAAACGCCAAAAAACGCGGCTAATCGTGTAGGAGTAGCATATGTAGCAGCTAATCGCATCTGGTTCCTAGGATTAGGACCGGACTGAAAACGAAGACCAAATCTTCAGATATATTATCCGGATCTCAAAAACCCCGCCATCCATCCATTCTTCTCAACCAACCAGGGTGGTTTCTACACCGATCTGGATCAGCGTGGAAAAATCTCTCCTAATGTTTCAAGAAAAAAAAAAGATCCATCCCCTTCATGGCAATCTCCACCCTTAAATCACTAAGGGAGTGTTTGAAGAGAAGGGGATTGAGGAGATTGGGAAGATACGCAAAACGAGGTAAGCCATTAGCTCATGATTAATTGAGTATTAACTATTTTAAATTTCAAAAATGGATTAATATGATTTTTTAAAGCAACTTTCCTATTGAAATTTTTTGCAAAAAACGCACCGTTTAGTAGTTTGAAAAGCGTGCGCGCGGAAAACGAGAGACAATCTCTCCTATCTCCACCTAACGAACACTCCCTAAATCGCGTTCCAGAACAGAAAAAAAAATCAAAAATTCTCCTGAGTCACCGAGACACAAGAACATGCGACTAGAGATTTCAAGCAGGAAGAGAAAAAAATTACGCATTTCCAGTTGCCACCAACGAAGAACTTGCGGCCCATCTCGACGAGAAGCTGATTAGATGGAACTGGACGCGGGGGGGGGGGGGGGGGGGGGGAAGAGAGCTGGAGATTGGATTTTGGTTTTTGTGGAGGAGGAAGAAAAACACCATGGACAGGATAATATAGGGGGAGCAGAGGTGTGGCCTCCGATGGGATCACATGAGGCGAGGCAGGCTCCTCCGACAATGACAGGTGGGTCCCACTCCCACCACCAATCTTTTTATTCTCTGGACTTCTCTAGAAATTATCTGCTTCTTTTATTTTTTCAAGCAAAAGAAACTAGTACATGGGAGCTACTACATGGATATAATATTCCGCATCAATTTTGTAAATCCATATCTACTTTTTTGTTTAACTGTACATCTCAATTGATCCTATACTAAGGCCATCTTTTTCCTCCATATTCTGATGCATTGTTTAGAACTAAATAAACTATACTCAGGTCTATTGTCCGGGCAAATTATTGCACCTGTAGCAAAGAGTAAGATGACCTATTGCTTTTTTCCTAAAAAGATATTCTCTTCCAGAACCAAAGTATGACTCGTTAACTACCCTGTTTTATTTATACACATAAAAAAAACTGCTTAAGTCATCCATAGCAGCGACGGCCACTGGTAAGGCGGACGCAGATGATCCCGGCGGCGTCGTGGTTTTCGTGGCCGCGGCGCGGAGCGGAACAGAGGGCGCCGCGGCATCGTGCTGCATCGGGATGCGCATCTCTCGCTGGTCCGGTGGTCCCCACCTCATCGATCCCTTTCGCCTTTTCGGCCTCTTTTCTGTTTCTCCTTTTTCCCGAGTTGGGCCTCCTCTCCGCCCGATGGTAGGCCCGAGCCGAGCCCAACGGTGGGTGGGCCGAGAAAACGTAGGGGGAATAGGGGCCCAACCAGGCCTATGTTCTTGCTGGGCCCGTCTCACCGAAACACTGTCCCATTTTCAGCCCAACTCGTTTGGACCATCAGGTTTTTACTCACTGAAATAGGAGAACGATTATTTTTTGTTGGATATCTCGATAAGCTGTTCTTAGAT